TTTACACTTAATGAAGTTATTGGTATGGTTACGTTTCTATCTCCCATCATGCTACTTGTTTTCTATTTGGTTCATCTTTCTTCTCTTTTCTCTCTTTTGCTTTTTTAGATTATTTTTATAATTCCATTATATATTTTTCAGGCTTATTAGCTATAACTATTTAGTGTTTTCTGTAGGATTTATAGTATACATCTTTAGCTTGTTAAAGTCAACATTAAAATGATATTACACTACTTCATGTGTAATCTAAGACTTTTTTTTTAAACAATATACGACTGTCCTTTGGTGTAATCGAAGACTCATGACAGCAAACTTGCATTTCTCTGGAGACCTCCTGGCCTTTTGCTACTGCTGCCATACATTTTATACTTACATATGTAATCAGTGCTATACTACATTGTTATTAGTTTCCTTTTAACAATAAATTATCTATTAAAGATATTTAAACAATAAAAAAGTCTTACATATTTACCCATTAGTTACCATTTCAGGTGTTCTTTCCTTTGTGTAGATCCATCCTTCCATCTGTTATCTCTGCCTGAAGGACTTTTAAAAAATTTATTATAGAGTGGTTTATGGGCGGTGAATTTTTTGAGCTTTTGTATGTCTGAGAAAGTATTTAACCTTTATATTTGAAACATACTTTTACTGGATTTAATATTCTAGTTGGACAGATTTTTTTTTTCTTTTACTATGTTAAAGATGTTACACCACTGTCTCCTAGCTTGCACTTTTTTTTTGACAACGAGCCTGCTGTATTTTTATATTTGTTCCTGTAATCATTATGTCCTTTTCTTCTGGCAGCTTGTAAAATTTTTCTCTTCCTCACTGGTGTTAAGCAATTTGACTTTTATTATGTGCTTTGGCATGCTTTTCTTCATTTGTTTTGTGCTAGGGCCCTAAAGATTTTGAATTTGTGGGTTTATAGTACTCATCACATTAAAAACAATTTCAGCCATTATTTCTTCAAATATTTTTTCGTGCTCTTCCTTTCTTCTCCTTTGGAGACCTGATTACATGTTTATTGAGCTGACTAAAGGTACCCCATGGGTCACCGATCCTGTATTTATATATATTGAGTCTGTTTGTTTTATTTTCAAGAGTTTCTTTTGCTATATTTTCAAGTGCACTAATCTTTTCTGCTCCAATATTTAATCTACTATTAAATCCATCTGGTACATTTTTATCACAGGGATTGTAGTTGTTATTTCTTGAAGTTTAATTCAGATTTTTTATTTAAAAAAAATCTTCCATGTCTCTACTTACTTTTTCAATTTATGTTTATGAGTGAGACTGGTTTATAACTTTTTTTTTTTTGGTACAGCTCTTTTCTTGGTTTTGGAATCAAGGACATTTTAGCCACATAAAATGAATTGAGAAATTTTTCTGTTTTCTTTTTGGACTAATTGTAAGAGTTCTATTAAATGTGTTTAGTAGAACTAGTTGTAGAACCAATTGGCATGCTATTTTGTTTATGGAACATTTTAAGTACTGGTTAAATAGTGTAAAAGATCTTTCAAGTGTTTTCTTTTACTTTTTGAGTCTATTTTGATGTTTTAATTTATGATTTCCACATAATTTTTCACACTTGTTTATATAAAGTTTTTAAAACAATTTATTCTTTTTTCAGTATAATTGCTGCAGTTTTTGTAACTGTTTCCCTTTGCATTACTAATACTTTGAATTTTTTCTCATTTAAAACAATTATTTTTGCAGCATTTTTTTTTATTTTGTTAGACTTTTCTAAAAACTACCATTTCCTCTGATAACCCTCTCTATCCTTGTTTGTTTTCTCTTGTATTATTTCTGATCTTACCTTACTTTTCCCCTCTGTTTGGGTTACCTTCTTTCTCCTCTGCCCCTTCCCCTCCTCTTTCCTCTTCTCTGTGCTTCCTCTTCTTCTTCCTCCTCTTTCTCTTTCTTTTTTAAAATTTTAAGTGATGGCTTGCTTCTGTCCTAATAAGCTCATTAAAGCTTTCTAAGTATCTTAAACTAGGTGCCCCAGTGTTTTAATATTTCACTTTTGTTAATTTTTAATATTTTCTGGTGACCACTCTTATACTTTCTTTAACCCTTAAGTTATTCAAATGTATCTTTTCGGATATCTGAACTCCCTGAACTCTGGGATTTCTAATATTCTTTAAATAATAAACTCTAATCCAATTTATTAGATTGTCATAGGCATTTCTCCAACCTTTGGAAACTTTTAGAGTTTTTATTTATAGGTTAATTTGTGTTCAACTTTCATAATGATTTTGTCTGCTTGAAAAGAATGGAGTGTATTCTTCAGCTGTTGTGTTCACTGCGGTGCAGTGTCATTTGTATCAATTAGATCAAGCTTGTTAATATCTGCCAGTCTGATGCTCTTTTCTCAGTTACCGAGAAAGATGTTTGTATCAAGGTTATACCTGCTACATAAAATAAGTTGAGGAATTCTTCCTTTTTCATTTTCTGGAATAATTTGTGCAAGAGTAAAGTTTTCTGGTTCTCTTTTTTAAATGTTTGGTAAAACTCACATTAATTAAAACCTCCCATTAGAAAGTGGGCTTGGCGATGTTCCCTTTCGGCTGTGTCACGTTTTGAAACCAAATTCCAGATGCACACACGTTTAAAACAGTGTTGTCATTGTGTAGTGGCCACATTATCTTCATTCATGCTTTCCTCCTTGAAGTCCTTTGCTTCTTTTTTTGGGGGGCGAGGGGCAGGGATATCTTTTATCCATATTTTGACTTTCAGTTGTCTGTGTTCTTGTGTCTTAGGTGAATTGGGTAACAGTATGTCACTGAATTAAAAAAAAAATCTAGTCTGACCACATTTCTCTGGGGAGATTAGTCCATTGACTTGTACTGTTATAAGTGATAATTTATACCTTGTCCTACAGTCATACTTTATGCTTTTATTTTTATTATCATGTATGCTTATTTTTTTCTGATTTTCTTGTTCTCTTTTTGACTGACTTAATTTTTTCCCATCTGGCATAATGGACAAGAGTGTGGGCTCTGGAAATCAAATGTCATCACTAGCCCAGGCATGTTGCTATATGTCTCCCTCACATGTGTGTGTTCAAAAATATGTGAGCTGTCTTACATACTTTTAAATGTACAAAACATAATAAACATGCAATATATTTATTCTCTCTATGATTGCAGACTAAAGTCTATTATCTTAGAACAATTTGAGGTTTATAGAAACATTGAGCAGAAAGGACAGAGAATTACCATAAAACCCATTCCCCATTACCCCACTATTAACATTTTGCATCAGTGTGGGGCATTTGTTGTGACTGATGAAGGAATATTGTTACATTATTAACTAAAGTTCACATTTATGGTATTGACAAATGTATTAAGGCATATATCCATCCTTACAGTATTATACAGCATAATTTCATTACCGTAGAAACTTCTCTTCTTCACTTATTCATCCCTGTGTATATTGTTTGGAATCTTGATTTTTCTGTTGTTCTTTAACATTATAATTTTGAGGGTATCTTAGTCCATTCGGGCTGCTGTGATGAAATACCACAAGCTGGGTGGCTTACAAACAACAAACCTTTATTTCTCACAGTTCTACAGGTTGGAAGTTTAAGGTCAGAATGACAGCGCGGCTGGGGGCTGTCTTCTCTGACAGACAGGCTTAGGGAACGCCACGGGGTCCCTTTCGCAAAAAGCACTAATGCTACTTGTGAGGGTTCTACTCTCACGACCTAACGGCCTCCAAAAGACTTAACTCCTAATCCTATCACGTTGGGCATTACGACCTCAACTTTACGACACAAATTTTAGGGGGTGCAAACGCGCAGATCACAGCAGAGGGTTACCTAGGCTCTGATTCGTTTGTTTTCACTGTTGATTAGTGTTCCCTCTCTATTGATACGCCTTAAGTTAAGATCTGTCCTGCGGTTGATAGGATGTAAGTTATCTCCAAGGTTTTGCTATTACAGACTTTTCTGCCTCATATAATCACTTCATGAAAATATACAAGTGTGTGTGCAGGCTATGTACCTTGTAGTACAGTTAGGGGGTCATGAAATTTTAAAAATTAATCCTTTATGCTATAAAATGGGTTCTAGCTACCTCTTTAAACAAAATTTCTATATGAACAGATATACCCAATCTAACATCATTTTTACTTTCCGGTCCTCTAATGTGCACCATTCTCTGACCTCTGACATCCTGACTCTTTTCTCTCTTTTCGCCCCATCCCCACCTCCAAGCGACTCACCTTGATGATCCAACTTTTTCTTTACGTTTCAGTCTAGAAGTCGCTTCTCTAAGAGACTTCTGATTGAAGTCCACATCTGGATAAATGCCACTCCCTAGTTATCTTGCAACGGCCTTCAGGTTGGCTGTTTCAGCTTCGTCCATGACTAAATTCCCCAAAGACAGGATGCACAACAGAGCCCCCTCCCACCCCCGCCCCCGTGTCCCTGTGCTCAGCATAGGGCCTGACACATAACGTCGTACGAATGAGTGAAGGTAGGGTAGCACTGCTGTATCAGCAATGGTGGGAACTGGCACCTCACCTGCAAATACGGGACCAGGCCATCACAGGCTCTGTTGTTATGTATCAGGAGAATAGGCTTCAAGGGTAGAGGGCCAACGATAAGGGCTCGGGGCTTGGTCACGCACATCAAGGACAAGGCGTGTCAGTCACGGCCAGGAGAAATGTTCACAAGGAGGTTTCCCACTCAGACATTGTACGCTAGGGCTCCCCTCTGTTGACCAGCCGAGAGAGAGCTCTTCAGATAATGAACCATGAAATCCTGCTATGCGGCTGCCCTGTGCAATAATTTTTCATTTGCCACCAGTCAGCTTCGGGGATCAAGGGCAGCAAAACACATAACCCTCTCATGCATGTTATTTTAAAGGCATATTTTAAAGTTATAAATATGGTACATTGAGTTAACGAGGTATTTTCTTTGGGTGACAAATATTTACATTCCACATAGGCCTCTTGATGTCAAGAGTGTAACTGTTTGGTTTTCTTCTTTTTCTCAGGAGGCTGGGATGCAGATGGAAAAGGCCCGAATGTCTGGGACACATTCACCCATCAGGGAGGAGAGAGAATTTTCAAGAACCAGACTGGTGATGTAGCTTGTGGCAGCTACACTCTGTGGGAGGAAGATTTGAAATGTATCAAACAGCTTGGACTGACTCATTACCGCTTCTCTCTTTCCTGGTCACGTCTGTTACCTGATGGGACGACAGGTTTCATCAACCAGAAAGGCAAGTGTTTCTTAAAAATAGAAGGTTGCAGCTTTAATTCAAGGTTATTGCTGCAGCCTGGCATAATTAATCCAGTATGCTATTCTGCAGTGTAGCTTTGAAATTGCAAGTTTTTTGGAGCGATTATGGGATACACTGTTTGAAATGGGTGAAATGGGCGTGCATTAGCTTTCTCAATAATATTCTGTTTTCCCTTAACTGCAGATCTCTGTTGGGGGTGGGGGAGAGAGATTGGCAGGAAGAGGGTTGGAATAAATGTTTTATTTATGGTATTGTTTGAGTGTTAACCCGAAGGTGAATTTTCAAAAGTTGTGTATAAATTATTTTCAGTTGTGTTACTCTGGGAGGAGATATGAAAAGCCCTGGAGAACCGGAGGTGATTTTGAGCATTTCAATAGCAGCTGAATTAATGGAGCTAATTAACTAGTACCAAGGAAACTGGAGTCCACTTTCTTAGGATTAAGTGACAGCTACGTCACTTCTTATCTGTGTAAGCATCTCTTGATGCCTCAGTTTCCCTACAAGTAGAAAGGATGCTCTATGGTTCCTTTTTTAGAGAGTTGTTGGAAGATTAAATAAAATAATATTTGTAGTCCTTACACTGACTGGTATATCATAAAATCATTCAATAAGTGTTAACTATTATTTGTATTATGTCTTGTGATTCGAAAGATTACACCCTATATGATAGGCTGTTATTCATGAGGCATTTTACATACATTTTCTAGAAGGTAGAATTATCACATTTTACAGAGGCACACGTCCAAATCCAGATATTTTGTAAACAGTGGATCTGAAAGTTAAATCTGAGGTCTGGTCACCTCCTTCCACGCAACAAAGTTGGCCACAGTGACCTGAGGGCCAAACTGGGCCTGCCACCTATACTTGTCAGTTAAGTTGTGTGGCAACACAACCATGCCCAAGCATTACATGCTATCTATGGCTGTTTTCCCACCGGAATGATGGAGCTGACTAGCCGCGGCTGAGACCAGATAGCCTACGAAACCTCAGTGTTTACTATCTGGTTCTCTACAGGGAAGTCTCGTGACCCCAGTGCTCAACATAATGGCTTCTTAATGAACAACCTTTATTGCTACTTTGTCTTGGAAAAGATTTTACACAATTTCTAGGGTTGAGACTAGGTGAGGCACGAAAGGTGTCTGAGTCATTCATTCATTCTCAGGGTCTTCTAAGTGCAAGACGGGCACATGCAGGAACCCGAGTGAAGGCACCTGCTTGCTTGAGCACGTTGCCGGCCTAGAGAGCCCTCATGAATGCTAAGGTGTTCTTTTTGAGTAAGTGATCTGACTTCATGCATATTAAGAACCACATATGATGACCATTTATAGATAGTGCACCTGCAATGCTCATTTTATGTCAAGCGAGCTCTCTACCTTGTGACATGGAACCACAACTCATAGACTCATGTGTCACCTGAGGCCTTAGCATAGCCTCCACCCAATGGGAACAACACGAGATTAGCAGGTTCATTGCCTGATTCTAAAGACATGAGCCCTAAGATTAACTGCTGTTGGTGGAATGTCTACTTTCTTGACATCACTGGCCAGTTTTATTGTCTGATTTTGAACAAAAGTTAATTTTCTCTTCAGCTTTAAAATGAACTCATAATTTTCCACCTTCTTAATGCATCATCTGTACCTTCTCTCCTCTCTGGAAGCACCATGCCCCCAAGGACTAAAAACTAAGAGAATCTTTTCTTTTCTTTCTCCATCTACTTGGTTGCCAAATGTGATCCATTCTGCTTATGTCTCTTTAACTTCTCTGCTCCTAGCCATCTTCTCTGCCCCTGGCCTAGTTTAGGTGTTCACCATTCTCATCAAGGATGTTTTGATATACCCTTGATAAATCTATTTGTAATCAAACCTTGGATCTCAAACGTCTCCCATCTCAAACAATTCAATTCTTGACCAAGTTGTTCACAGAAAAAAATGTCTCAGTTTTTGAACAAAACTTCAGCTCTCAAGTTGACAACCCTTTCATGCTGATGCAGTGGAATCTTGGTTCTCAAGCTTATGTTCAATTTGCAGTTGAAAAGATAAAAAAGAGGGAAGGGAGGGTATTCCTACTTCACTGATGAAGGAAATGCTTGGGAAATGGAGAGAAATGCAAAGTTTTATCGAGAAATATCACCCTGACACAGAAGTAGCAAACCGTGCAATAAACTTGTTCATTGACAATGCAGTGTTTCACTTCAGGCAAGTGGTAAAATGCAGGCAAAAACAAACATCACTGGATAGGTTTTTAGAGTGACAGAGGCCCAGTGCGCCTGAAGCAAGTTCTGGTGGAGTAAAGAAACGAAAGAGAGAAAGAAGGCTGGAAGAACAGCTACCTGATGTTTTAAAGGAAGGGGACTCCCCTTCCAAAAAATAGCATCCTTCCCTCCATCCCTCTACCTCTTCTTCTCCATATTCGGTCATCAGTGGCTGTCAACATTAAAGGTAAGTTGTAGTGTGTACGTAAACTTTCATTTTTTACTGTACATTTTGTTTCCTTTTTGTTAAATTTTCATTTACATTTCATGTCCTTTTGCTTTTAAAGTGTTTATTCATAGATTAAACAGTACATTAGACATGTACTGTATATGAGAAAGGTTAAAACAGGCAATAATTTCAGGGTCTGGAACAGATTAATTCAATTCACATCATTTCTAATGGGAAAATTGATTTGGTTTTTCCAACAAATCACTTCTCAAACAGCATTCCGGAATGAATTAAGTTCGAGAACCGAGGTTCCACTGTGCTTTTATTCTCTTTCTTTTTTTTTAATTCTTTATACAAAAGGCTACCACAGCAATTTCTCTAAAGCTTGGCCCAAGTCATTGGGCTTACATTATTTACATAATCTCTACTAAAAACAAAGTAATCTGAAAAAACATTTAGTCACCCCAAGCCTCAATGGACAGTCTACACTCCTTCATACACCATTTTGAAGTCACCTCTGACTCATTACCAGCGGAAATTCCCCCATGCATATGACCCATGCATTTCCCTGAGCACACAACTGACCACTTATTAAATATACTACCTTTGTCAGATTTTTCTTACTCCCTTCCTTTTGCCTGGAATGGCCTTTCCTTATCTCCCAGCTATGCCCCCTGAATGCCTGTTCCCCTGTTAAAACCTAGCACAAATGTTTCCTCTTTTTAAAACATCTTTCCTTAGTCCAAGACAGAAGAGATCTTGTTTTCTCTTTTCCTAGCACTTTGTAAAACTCTTAGGATATGCCTCATGTTCTTCACCCTTAGTGTTATTGTAACCCCTGCTGGACTGTGAACACATCAGTTGAATTCAACAAACATGTATCATGTCTGTGTGTCCTGTGTGCTGTGTACTCATAACATGGGTGTAAGACAACCCCTCGAATTGCTTATGGTATATTGGGAAGTAATTCTGCCTTGTTCACCCCTGTTACCTAGTCCAGTACCTTGCACACAGGAATTTAGGAAACACTTACTGAATCGAATTGAATTAGGTCAATCACAATAATAAAATTCGCTCTAAGGATAGGAATGGTTGCCTCTTATTGAGCGTGTACTCTGAGCAACTCGCTGTGCCCATATTGTGCTTGCTTTTGAAGATTTAATTCTCCCAACAGCCCCATGAGTGAGGAGGTTCTGTAAATAGAAGCTATTACTGGGTGTAGGTTAGGCATAAATTTGCTAAGATGACAGGTTTTGATGGGGCTGATTCAACCCACGTCTGTCTAATATCAAGTACCTAGAATCTAGTCTAGACCCATTTACAACTTCACCAAATGACTTGTATTCTTTGCGCTACAGTTTTTCTGTTGGTAAAATGAAGTGGAAAAAACTCCATCGCTACAGCTCTGTCCTCTGTTTTAGTCCATGATTCCAAGAGTTTGGAGTTTTCACTGAACTTCCATCTGGTTGGTAAAAAAACAGAAAAATTAAAAACAGAATAAAAACATAACCCACCAGCTTGTAACATAAGTCCATGATTCCTTATCTGACATTCTAAAATCCAAAAGTCTCTGAATACTGAATCCTTTTTAGCAAGTTTAGTTTTAAAACTAATTTGGCAGCAAATGCTGCCCTAAATTGATGCAAAAGATTTTTATCATCTCAGTTTATTCTGCTTGATGAAGATATTTAAATATTTCACTGCAGAAGTATTAAGGGATACTGTCTCAGACACCACAAGGGGTGTTAAACTTGATCTATGGTGTTTCCTCTTTACAACCCAATCATTTTGAACACATTGGTCACCCTAATTTTCGGATGAAGGATTAGGAACCTGTACCAATGTCGACATATCAAGCTATTTAAAATGAGCTGAAGGTGTCCAGCTGTTCATGGAACAAATTGCAGCTCAGCAGTCCCAGGACAGGGAGTAGAAGACCTGGGGGGTGGGGGGGGGAGGGGGGGGGGCGGGGGGGGGGGGCAGGGGGAGGGTGGCGGTAATGGAGTCATAGGGGCCCGCTGAACAATGCGGGGAAATCACTCACACAGATCTCACGTGGGGATCACGTGCCTCCAGCCCTGAGCCTTCTGTTTGCCCAGCTTTTGTAAAACCATAGCTGATTAATATCTCAGACTCTTCCATGAACACGAGGGCACTGGAGGTCCTTCCAGGAGGCCGACTTTCAATAAGCAGTTGCTTATGCTTGTGCAGTGATCTGTTGAAGCAATTGGAACTGGTTTAACTCAGAAAGGCCATCATTTGTTTTTTTTTTTTCCTGTTTAAATATTTCCTCAAAGAGCATGTGAAGAATCGGAAATCCCTTGTCACTGTTCTTTGCAAGGAACCCCTTTTTGTGTGTGTGTTTGACTTTCTTTGTTGAAGCGTGATTGGAAGATATTTGGAAACTTATAAAATCCTATGCTGTTAAATTGGAAGAGTATTTTACAAAATGGAATTGTTACACAGCCTTTCTCTTTCAAATGCCAAGTTTTCGAGGTTTAACAAGAAGAGATCGAGCTGGCTGCTGAAATCACATATTTCTGTATTCTCGAGTGTTCA